CCTTCATTATCGAAGCGCGCGTTCTTATACATTCTCAAAGGCAGCGTAACACGGGAACACTTAACTCATTTCTTATTGGTTACCTTGAGGAAAAAGCCTTATAAGTAGATATTGTCTTACTTCTCCCTTTGTCTTGGGCCACAGGTACTACTGACTACGTGTCTCTAAGACAACTTTAGCTGAGCCTTGTGGTTTGGGGCTTTTGACATAAGAACTTTTACTGGAACATTTTGTGGTTGAAGGCTGATGACATTTCCCTGTCACTTTAAACAAGCTTTTAACTGTCCCTTATGCCACATCTTGTTTTTTATATTTTAATCCACATTTTATTCTACTTTAGAATCGTGACAACTTAATTTTTCTTTTTCAGTTCGAAACGTTTTGGTCCCGCCGGCAGAGTCTCTCCTTCAACCTTCTAAATGGGGTTTTCCTTTGGGGCATTTTCATTTCTTTGCAGAGACCAAAACTTGGAAGAACTTATCTCTAGAACTTGTGAATGCTCCAACATTGGAAATTGGCTTTTTTAGGCTCGTGCCTCAGTGTACATATTTTCCGATGAGGCAAACCGAGACTGGATGATCATTTTATTACAATTTATCAGAATATTCAGACAAAAGGGATTCCTCATTCAAAGAGGGAACCCAGATCTTTAGCTTGTATCCCCTTTTATAGTTAACATAACAAAGAAACCTGAAAGAGGAAGATTGATTGGACAGGATAATAGCATACATGTTTATTAAAATGAGGTCTGAAGGGGAATAAATTGTAAGGAGGAAGATTGTTTAGGGTTCACAAGAGATAAGCCAGACCCCCAATTTTTACTAACAAACTTTTCTTGTCTGGAGCTACTCTCCAGCTTGTTTATCAGTTGAGGAATGTTAAACGTTAATAAATCTTGAACATCACTTCAAAAGAAAGAATATAAATCAGATTAAAATGCAATCTATGTTAGTTAACAAATAACAAAACCCATGTTTGTTTGCCCCCCAGATTGGATACCCATTTGATTGAAATGTTATGGATTCTCCTGCCTAAGCAGGGGGTTTGTACTAGAAGACCTCCAAGGTCCCTTTCAACTCTGTTATTCTATTCTATTCTTGTCTGAAATGGTGCAGGGTCTCCTGCTTGAGCAGGGAGCTGGACTAGAAGACCTCTAAGGTCCCTTCCAACTCTGTTATTCTATCTATTCTATTCTTGTATGAAATGGTGCAGGGTCTCCTGCTTGAGCAGGGAGCTGGACTAGAAGACCTCTAAGGTCCCTTCCAACTCTGTTATTCTATCTATTCTATTCTTGTATGAAATGGTGCAGGGTCTCCTGCTTGAGCAGGGGGCTGGACTAGAAGACCTCTAAGATCCCTTCTAGCTCTAGTCTGATTGAGTGTCCCGGGGTTCAACCTTTCGTCGGTGATGCCAATGCACCTTCACGCCCTTTAGCTCATCCCCCACCCCCTCTCGTCAGGTAAAAGCCATCTCGGACGGTGCGGCATCCGGCTGCACAACCGCGCCATCACCGAAAAGCGATGCGAAGCCCACGCAGCACCGCGCTTCGTCCCTAGTTTTTGTTTCTTTCGGTGTGTTTGACAGGCGGAATCCGAGAGGGGGCGCCCGCGGACGCTCTTCCGCCACTTCAGCGCCGGAGCGCCCAGAGAAGGGAAGGCGGAGCGAAGGGGAAAGGCAGCGCAGCGGGTGCCTGGAGAGAGTTCCGGGGAAACGTCCGGGGGTCCCGCGCGTCCATCCGACGGAGGCGACGCGAAGACGCTCGTCTCCTTGCGGTAGGGGGCTCCTCCGACCTCCGCGGCTGCAGCAGGGCCGCTTCCCCTTTTGCGATTCTGCATGGGGGGGGGGGGGGGGAAGCCGCCTGGGCAGCGTTGCGGGGGGAGGCCTCACCCCCCCTCCCACGTTTTGGGAACCCCTCCTTCCTGCCCCTCCTCGTCCCGTCTCTCGAAGCAAAGTGGGGGGAGGTCTGGATTACTTGCATCGCATACTGCCATTGCATTGCTTACATTGCATTGCATTCCTTACATTGCATTGCATTCCTTACATTGCATTCGTTGCATTGCATTGCATTCCTTGCATTTTCAACGGAGCATGCAGCTCGGGGGGGGTATCTCGGCGCGGGGGAGCATGGGAGGACCTCCACCCTCCTCCATCCTCGCTGTCCCATCGCTGCGGAGCTTTTGCCGGTGATGACCCCCCCCCCCCCGGCTGGAAGCAAAGCCCCGCTCTAATCCTTGACTTTTCGGGGGGGAGAAGGGAGCCGAATTGCCTTTTGGGGTACCCTTCCTGGATTTGGGCATAAAAGGGAAAAGTTTATTTTTTTATTTTTATTTTTATTTATTTATTTCATCAAGCATGTATGAGAAAACATATAAGTATAAGCATGATTTTGATTACATGAAATGGAGATGAGTAAAAGGAAACTTTGGGACAGAGACCCCTTACAAACCTCTTAGGAATGTGGTGAGGTCAACAGTAGACAGTCTAAGGTTAAAGTTTTGGGGCTTTGAGGATATAACAACAGACCCAGGTTGTGCATTCCAGGCGTTGACCACTCTGTTGCCTGAAATCATATTTTCTGCAATCGTGTTTGGAGCGGTTAACCTTGAATTTGTTATCTATTGTGTGCTGGGGTATGTGTTGTGGTGGTTGAAGCTGAAGTAGTCATTGTCATGTAGGACATTGTAGCGGGTAATTTTATGTACTTCGCTTCGGTCAAACCGAAGGCAGCGTAGGTTAAGCATGAACCGCACCAACAATTATTTCGGTGGTTCCTATCACCGAGTAGGGCGATGATCAACTCTAAAAGTGGTGAAGGGTTTTGTCTGTCCTACCTGGATGTAGGAAAATCCTTTTTTATTCAGATGGGAAATGAGAGGAGATGCTGCAGCTCTTCCTATGGAGGGTGAGGGATTAGATTTACTTGATTTAATTTGGACACACACACCCCTTTCCTAGTTCCTTATTATAGTGTTTTTTTTAAATTGGGATTTTTTGTGTTTTTAATCCCAAATGATGGATTTGGGGAATTGGATGCTGCAAATCCAGTAGATTTGATTGATTGATTGATTGAAATTTATTAGCCACCTAGCTCCACTGGACTTTTGTGGCATACAAAAGATAAAAACAGCTGAAAGATTCAACCAAACAGGCCAGGCTGAAATAACCTTAACAGCAAAGTCAACACAATAAAATAGAGCCTATTAAACAAATAATACACAATAATAATGGAAAGATATAAGTGTCTGAGAGAATGTTGCAGAATCCCATCTGGGTCTATTCCTGGGACCTGAGATTTACTCCTTGGTGCTTCCAGACTTATGCAGGAGCCTATCCTCGGTGAACTTCTCTCTAAAGAAATGTGTGCTTTGGGCTGGTGGTAAATCAGCCCTTGTGCTGACTGACAAGGAGCTGGTTTCTCAGGCTTCAATGATTTCCCTGGCTACTTTTGTACTTGCTCAGCCAACAATCTAAATAGCTGCTAAATTGAATGTATGTCCTTGTTCATTGCAATATGAGGCTACCAATGAGTTCGGGTTTCCTCGTCTGACCGTTCACTTGTGTTCTTGCAATGTAGTGGTTACCTCCTTCCTCATCTGTGCTATTCACGGGCAATTCATGCAGGGATTACATTAGAAATATCCGTGTTCCGTGTATTGATTCGCATTTCCAACATTTTGGGGAGGCTGTAAAGATGCTTTTTCACGTACTACCGTAATGGAACCTGCTCATCACAGAACTAAATTGTGGCCGTCGTTAAATGGGCCAGTCACATAACCAACTTCATTTTATGCTCTTTTGTGCAGTGGTTATTAAGGGATCCTGGCAGCTGTGAGCGCTGTAGTCATTAAGCAAACACCATGGTCATTAAGTGACTCTGTGGTTCAATATAGGTGCCGTTTTGAGCAAAACTGTCTTAAAACATAGTCACGGGACTACAAGACACTGCAAATATCGATAAGTGGAGCCAAGTTGCTAAGTTGGTACATGTCTTTGGGCAATCTTTCTCATAGTAAAAAAAAAGCACCCGATGGACTCACTTTCACTTCCTTCCTTCCGGAGCCGTCTCCGACTTCGTCAGCCTGGGGGCTGCCTGTTTGCCACCGGCTTGAAGGGCTTCCCTTGGGTCAATGAGGGACTTTGCGATGTCTCTGAGCAAGCCTTTGTCTTCTTGATCACCATCTCTACGGGACGGTTTATGTCCTGCCAGACCGTCTAGTGGCAAAAGTGTCAATGGCGGTCTCGGACAGTCAGGACCGCACATTGTGTTGTCACGACGTTGGCTCCTCCTCTCCCACTAAGTTGCTCCTCCTCTCCCACTAAGTTGCTTCATGTCAATGCGGGTGGGGGGGATTGTCAGAATTGTGAATTTCAGTTGTAAGTAACTTTGAACCGTCACTGAGTGAATGGCCATAAGTCAAGGTCTACCTGTACAGGAAATACAACCTGTCCTTTTTAAAAATATTTTTCCCCTAAGATTAGTGTGACCTCTAAAATGTGGCATAGTGTTAAACTGATAACCAAATAATCTGCTTCCAATATGCTCTGCCTTTAGATTTGAGAGGGCTAACAGCAGATAAATCGGCAATGGAGAAACAAGTCTTAAACCCAGAAGAAGGACCGGACACAGCCGGAAAACTCCCTTCTGCAATCCAGCCTCAGTTTATGTCCGAACAAGCAGGATGGGGTGCATTTGAGAGGAACAAGAGGGCCCCGTTCGTTGGGATGGAGGAGCGCTGGGAATCGCAGTGGCAGCAGTTCCTCCAGACGCTGCAACCGGTTCATCCAGGAGAGGGCAAGTCCAAGATGTCGGATGCTTCTCCCTGGGAAGATCCCAAGGTCTTCCTGGCCTCCTTCGAGCAGGTGGCCCAAGCCTGCCGGTGGCCCAGAGAAGAGTGGGTGTCCTGTCTCCTGCCGGCCTTGAGCGGAGAAGCCGAAGAGGCTTTTCAGAAGCTGGAAATCGGAGAACGGGTCAACTATGGGAAGGTGAAGGCCGCCATCTTGAAAGGGGAAGCGGTGAAAAGGGAGGACCAGCGTCAACACTTCCGCCAGTTCTGCTGCCAGGAAGTGGAAGATCCTTGGATGGTTTACAAGCAGATCCAGGAGCTTTGCCGCCAGTGGTTGAAGCCGGAGAGGCGCCCCAAAGAGCAGATCCTGGAGCTGCTCATCCTGGAGCAGTTCCTGGCCAGCCTGCCTCCGAAGCTCCAGAGCTGGGTTCAACCCAGGAGGCCGGACACGTGTTCCCAGGCAGTGGCCCTGGTGGAGGACTTCCTACGGAGTCAGCAAGGAATCAAATCAGAAGCCTGTCAGGTATGATTTGATGATATCATCTTTGGTGTTCGCATGATTGAAATGGACCTGGGTGCTAGAAACCCTTAGAATCCTTACAGGGAATGATGTACTACTTCAGTCTGTTTTTAGTTCTGGTGATTATGAGAATTTTAAGCACTACCACCAATATTTCTGAAATTGTTCTGTTGATATAATTCATAATTTTCCAAGTCCTTTTTCAAAATGCAGTCGAAATCATTATTGTTATTACTTTGTGTAGTTAAGATTCATGTAACAGAATAACAGAGTTGGAAGGGACCTTGGAAATCTTCTAGTCCAATCTCCTGCTCAGGCAGAATGCCCTACGCTACTTCAGACAAATGGTTATCCAACAACTTCTTAAAGACTTCCAGTGTTGGGGCATTCACAACTTCTAGAGGCAGGTTGTTCCACTGTTTAATTGTTCTAACTGTCAGGAAATTTCTCCTCAGTTCTGGGTTGCTTCTCTCCTTGATTAGTTTCCACCCATTGCTTCTTGTTCTACCCTCAGGTGCTTTGGAGAAGAGGTAGACCCCCCTCTTCTTTATGGCAACCCCTTAGATCAGGGGTATTAAACTCAAGGCCTGGCCACTGAATTTGGCCCACGGAGTGTGTTTAATTCTGGCCCACGGCGCCAATCTGGAAACAACAAAGACGCACTGGCCTGCAGTCCTCCCGTGTGCCATTTTTGTTCGCAGAGGGATGCAGGAGGCCTTTGCAGTCGAAAACGGAGCTTGGGAGCCCATTTTCACTGGCAGAGCGCTGGGGCCACCACAGGCACCCACGACACGAGGGATGTTGAGCTGGCCACCCCCATCCTGGCCACACCCACTCTCCCCCCCTCCAAGGTCAAACACAACCCTGATGCGGCCGTCAATGCAATCGAGTTTGACACCCCCTGCCTTCGATATTAGATCATACGTCGAGGATTACCTGGACAAAGTGTCTTATGCTAATATTTTCACTTTTTATTTCGTGCAGAGCAATATAAATTTGGAGAACTTAATTGCAGGGAGAAAATTCACCGGTAGAGCACTTCCTGCAGGGCAAATCCAGCAACACTAAAAATACCGAATAAGAGCTGAGCAAACTAGAACTTTGCATGGTATTGTGTAACTTAATGACATAATCTACAACAGGGGTGTCAAACTGGATTTCATTGAGGGCTGCCTCATGGTTGTGTTTGATCTTGAGGGGCTGGGGTGGGCGTGGCCGGGGTGGGCGTGGCCAACTTGATATCATTCATGTCGGGAGCACCTGTGACAGCCTGAGCGCTCCGCCAGTGAAAATGGGCTCCCGAATTCCGTTTTCGGTTGGGACAGCCTCTTGCAACCCTCTATCAACAAAAATGGAGCTTCGTTTTTGCTGGCAGAGGCACCGCGGGCCGGTCCTTCACTGTTTCCAGGGCACCCCGCGGGCCAGCTCCAGCCCGCAGGCTTTGAGTTTGACACCCCTGATCTACAATAACCTCCATGAAAACCAGCCCCCAAGATTCCTGGTTTTGGCACAATGAATCCTGTTGTTCTGAGTAGGACTTGTCTTCCTTGTTTCAGGGGCCACCAAATGAAGAACCCACCAATTTCGAATGTGCTGAGCAGGAGCCCTTAGAAGCCGTGAAGAGAGAAAATGTTGAAGTGGAGATCGGTATGCTGGGTAAGAGCGCCCTAGGAATGGGCAAACACCAAATCCCTCCCGCATTGTGGTATGCTTAAACTGAGGGCAGAATTCTTGACCTTGATCAGTTTCCTAGAAAGAGCAAATTTTGATAAATGCAATAAGTTAGGTGGATCACCCAATCTGGAGCAGCTGAATTCGGAAGGGACAATGTTTGTCATGGCTATACGATACACCTTAGTACGGTGTTTTTCAATTTCAGCAGATTTAAGATGTGTGGACTTCAATTCCCCCCCCCCAGTGGAATTCTGGGAACTGAAGTCCATACATTTAAGAATTGCCAAGGTTCCTTTCAATGATGGAAGCATTAATTTATCCAAACATATTAGATATAGATAAAATAAAGAGATACAAAGATTTACTAATGATCAGGGGGAACTGAAAACGGAAAAGAACTAAAAGAGCAAAGGCATAGACATCAATTGGTGGCCATACATGCAAATTCAGGCCAGATATAGGAAAGAACAATATGGATTCCAAAAAGAACCGCAAGAATTAGATAAGATTCTACAAGGTACAGAAGATAAATTGATTAAGAAAATATACAATTATTTATTGAAATATAGAATGGAGGAGGAAGTAGTTAAAGAAAATACGATAACTTGGGCCCAAAACTTCGGCTACAATATCGAATTGGAGAAATGGGAGAAACTTTAGAATGAAAATTATAAATTGACAATGTCAGTAGCCTATAAAGAAAATATGCATAAAACATTCTACAGATGGCACCTTCCCGCAGGGAGATTGGCCAAAATGCACCTGAACATATCACCAGACTGCTGGAAATGTAGACAAAATCGGGGAACATTCTACCAAATGTGGTGGACATGCCCAAAAGTAAAACAATATTGGAAAAGATTAAGAAAATGGCTCGAAGAAATAACTACCGTATTTTTCGGAGTATAAGACGCACCGGAGTATAAGGTTATACTATACTATATATAAGGTTTTGCAAACCTCCCAAAAATGGCCCATTTTTCGCAAAAACGGCATGAATAGCCCTTAGGAGGCTTGTAGAGTGTTCCGGGGGGGGGGGGGGGCAAAAATGAGCAAAAAATGGCCTGTTTTTTGTCAAATGAGCATTTTTTGCTCATCTCTGCCCTTTCCAGCCCCCAGGAGCTCTCTGAAAGCCTCCTCAAAGCTATGCACGGCCTTTTTGGTGAAGGGGCGGGGTTTCAGGAGGCAAAAACGCTGTATTCAGTGTATAAGACGCACTCAGATTTTCAGCCTCTTTTGACGGAAAAAGATGCGTCTTATACTCCAAAAAATACGGTAAGCAGCAAATAGACATGGTTGAAAAACGCTGATTGAGAAGATCTTGTGGAGGTTGTACAATAAAGCACAATAAAAAATGCAAATACCAAAAAAAGGGGGAAATATAATTTGATAATAATCTTTCTCCATTGTGTACAGTATCTGATCAGTTTCCAAAGAAAAGACTTGTGTTGGATACATTGAAGTAATTTCGACAGGTGGTGGCCAGAGCAAGGATTATGGGGCCAGAGCATTCCTGTCCTGGAAGAGTCCTAGTTGCCCATGGGGCACATTGAGAATTTGTGGCTTGTGGTTTGGCACTAAGGACAGGTCTCTCTGTCTTTTTATTGATGAATTTTAATTGAATTAATTACATACAGGTAGTCCTCAGCTTACAACAGTTCATTCAGTGGTCATTCAAAGTTACAACAGCACTGAAAAAAAGGGTTCCACCACAAAACTGCGTTCGACTAAAGCGCGCTCGACGAAACCGCGTAGCTGACGTCATCACAAGGCGACAACAGCGCGAAGACAGAAGCATGCTGTAAACGCTAAACCTAAAATTAACCCTTAAACCTAAACCTAACCCCCTAAACCTAATCCTAAACCTAACCCTTAACCTAAACCTAACCCTTAACCTAACCCTAAACCTAACCCTAAACCTAACCCTTACCTTAACTTGAATCAGCTTGCTTTCAAAGCGCTATTTAAAGCCCATTTCTTTCTCCGCGATCGCTGTTGGCGCCGTGTTGATGACGTCAGCAATGCGGTTTAATCGGGCGCGCTTTAGTCGAGCGTGGTTTTGTCGTGCCATGTATTAAAATACACAACAGT